AATTAAACTCGAAGATTTTTATCAAAGGCAGAGCAAACCCTAAATAATTTTGTTTTGCTTTCGTATTTTTGTCTTTAAAATGTTATAAAACAAATCAACGAATTCGTATCGTTAATTATTTCGGGGTTCGAAGTTTTCAGTTACCTACTACGTACTTATTATTTTTTGAAAACAGTAATACGCAAAATTCATCTTTTGAATCTTTGTTAGACTTTGCACATTTTATTCAATTTGAATTATTCACCTTTTCATCGGACATACAAAACAAAGTAATTAGACATTTTGCCATTACGTGCATAACCTCGGGTGTCTAAAAAATATAAAGTTTTTAAGTTTTGTATGTGTTTTAAATAGTCAACTTTAAACCTTCTGTTATAGACCTTTTTAAAAATATATCTGCTTTTTTGTATCGTCATTGATATACTTTTATACATTTTAAAATGTAATTACATAAACAGTAAGGACAGTACACGTTATACAAATTAGCTATTTTAATTCTAGTCCTTGCTTTATAACTATCGTCTAATTCGACTCGACTTGTGATTGTATATATAGGTATGCTATCAAATGAACTGAAAACATAAATACTTCAAACAATAAAGACAGTACACGCTTTAAAAACTAAACTTCCTTTGAGTTTGAAAGCTTTTAAATTTTGTATGTGTAATTTACTTGAAGTCCGTTAGCAAGAGTTTTCGGTTATGAGCAATTTTGACTTTTATTTCTATTCGTAAAAAATCATTGTTTATGTATTTAAAGGCAACCAGTAGGTACGGTTAATAAGAGTCCGAGTACAAAAGTGTAGTTTTTCGTTAAAAGTTCTGTAACTAAATGGACTATTTACGTGAAAAAATAAAACGGATTTCGGCCTGTTAACTAAAATCTAGTAATTTTCCTAGTTTCAATAGTGAACGTGCAAAAATATTTAAAATACACATTGTGAGTAATGAGAATTTATTTTGACCTTCTGATCGGTTACAATTAGCAGCGTTTTGAATAATTTGTCGTTGAGTTCCACCGTATGTCATTACACAAAGACTTTCACTAGCACAGCTTAATTTGTTTTTCCACTACACCAAAGTAATTAATTGCATTTTTTCAATTCCTTTCTTATTTCGCTTAGTAAGCGACAGTAGTTGAGAAATTAACATCGATTATTACCAACTAGATTGATACAGCTTCTTAGTAATGACCTCAATGCAGCCCCCGTTGCGTGTGGATATCTTAAATGCATTTGATAAGTAAGTTTACGCTTGTTTTTTTGTTTGCTATACACCTTTCTTTTAGTCGAAGTGAAAAATACGTGATTTGTCATTTTTCTGTTAAGAACATCTTAGGATTTGCAAAATTACATATCACTCTCATTCTATTTTTGAAAGCAGTTTATTAAATTTTTTATATACCTACCGTAACACTAATCGAACGGCACAGTTTTTCCTAATTCTATTTGCAGTAATGGTTACATGTCGAAAAAATTGAATTCATTGCAACAGCCTTTTTTCTGTTTTGGATTTGCGCGTACAAAAACAGCGTCACCTTAAAATTTCCATCATCAGGTTATGTATGACTATTATCTTTCTAATTTACTTTTCACGAGACTTTTCATAATCTACTACTGTGTATCGTCTGAGAATGTTTGTGCATTTTTGTGAAAAAATTTATGATTTGTATTTTTCAGAGTATCCTAGGTTTGCAATACTTTTATCTCTTTCTCACTTAGACTCAGATGATATGTTTATTTTTAATACTTGTAATTTTTTCTTACAAAACGTTCAAACAATTCGAGCGAACTTTTAAAGTTAGAAATAGCATTACAATTTGTTTTTGATTAGTCGTCATACGAAGAATTGAACTTAGTACATCGTCGCAACCATGTATACGATTTTGATAGTTACCAGGGACGCATCCTCACGACAGTTGACTAAATCCTGGGAGAGGCGGCGACGCCAGGCATATGTCAAAGTTTCAAGTTTCAATATTCTCTTTACACTTTTTGAATGTTAATTTACTTACAAATGATCAAGTTTAATATCTTTTATTACAATAGGCTAATACAATCATAGTATACAATATAATACAATTTAAACAAACTTTAAATTTGTTGTTTTTTCCTGCTACACCTAAACTGTTCGAGTAGGTGGCCGTTCTTCGCAACTTCTCGTTGAAAACGTCTATAATTGAACTACACTTAAAAAGTTATAGTACCAGCTCAGATAAAACACATTTAAAAGTACCTATCCGTTTCAACCATTACCCGATCGCCATACTTTATTGAGATGATATCAAGATTCAGGACTTTATATTTACGCTTAATTAATGAGGTTCCAAATATGTGAAATCACCCGACTCATTAGAAAAGTTTCTCCTAATTACACCTACTTGTAACTTATAACAAATGCGTCCTGACATTGCAAAAATAAATAATTCAATCTAATCTTAAAACAAAACCCCCAAACCAAAAAATAGTCCACACTTGAAAGTCTCAGTCCTTTTACCTACATGTATTTATGAAGGTCGTGCATAAAGTGCTGCTATTCAATTGTTTTAAACTTTGAATAGAACATATTCTTAAGATTGAACAGCGTTCGAGTGTTGTAATAAAAACGAATACACGTAAAAATATCCTAGGGTATAGAAACGATCACATGCAAGATTTTTTGCTTTCAGTCTATTCGACACTTAAAAGATTCGGTTCTTTACATATATATGAAGGGTTTACATAAAGTGCCGCTATTCAATTTGTTTTTAGACATTTTTTTTTCTTAAGATTGAAGAGCGAGCGAGTGTTGTAATAAAAATATCTCCTTAAGCGTTGCAAGTTTTTTGTGTTGAGCTTAGTCGGCTGATTGTATATTTCAAGAACATCTGTGAACTGAACTAAAATTTAATCCTATACCCTGTTTTTTAAAAGGTTTGTTTTACACCTAACAAAATTAACCACTCAAAGTACATAGAATTTTATTATTTTATATCATTATAATAATTAACAATGTAAATTTATACAAATTGAAGATTTGTTGTTTTTCCCGCTGAGCCTAAGCTGGATAGATGTATGTCCGTTGTTTTCAATTGATCGTTGAATTTGGCCATACGATAATCGCTTTGGAAAAATTTATAGTACCGCTCTGGCAGTACACACTTGAAAGATTCGGTTTCGACCATCACCCTCTCTCCATACTTGGTTGATATGTAGTCCATCTTAAGCACTTTGTGTTTATCCCCAGCGATCAAGTCCTTTACCGATATGAAGGGTTTGCATAAGGTGCTGCTATTCAATTCGTTTAAATCAAAGCTGAATTCGTGAGCCATTGAGATTTGATTATCTGTAATAGTAAAAAAGCAATCACAATTAAATTATTCGCTTATATTATATTCAGAACAAAGATATAAAGAGGAAAACAATCAAGATACTTACGATATTCACTGTAATAGTAAGCACGAAAATCCGCTGTCATCGGTGCGACTGTACTTCATTAACCTACGCCACGGTGAATAATAAACCTACGCTTCGTGTTTTATACAGTAAAAAATGCCTCGGGAATGCATGTGTTTGTCATTTCACCTCATACGTTCCTATGACGTCAGCGAAGACCATGAAATACCAAGACGCCATTAGAAACCGAAGAAGCCACGGAATGTTCCAATGTCACTCAATGCCAATTACATACGTAACCATACATTAGAGAGAAAGAGAGAGTCCATGAAACACCGCAATCTCATTAGAATTTCGATCATCAAGCTACGTACGTAACGAGAGAGAGCCCTGTCGGTTCGCAAACATCGTTAGTAAAATCATTGAACGTTCAATGTCGTCTGCATACATGAAATACCACCGTCCCATTAGAAATTGAAAATGACCCGGAATGTCCTATGTAACCATGCATTAGAGAGAGAAAAACCAGCCCGTTTCCAAGCTATTGCATCATTTGAATGTAAAAGGCCAGACCATAGAAATTTGAGAAAGCCATGAATGCCCAATGTCGTTTACATCACGACGAAGACCATGAAATACCACAGCGTCATTAGAAACTCAAAAAGCCACGGAATGTCCTATGTAACCATGCATTAGACAGAGAAAACCTCAGAGAAAACCCAAACAGTTTCGAGGCTATTTCGTCATTGGAATGTGAAAGCAAGTCCCCCAGACCCTGGGGATCTTATGTCATTAGAAAGTGAAAGTAAGTCCCCCACTTCTACTAAGGGGGACTTTTCATGCTAGCCATTTAAAAAAAATTTACAATCCTATGCAAATGCGATAGCACAATTACCGAAACCAGACTGAACTAACCAATTTCAATTTTTTAAATTCAAATTTGGCGCCTTATTCAATTTCTGATAGTACCGACAATTTTTCATACTTTAAAGTTGGATATCAAACTTAAGGGCCCCACACACCTCGTTCTTTGTCGACGTTTTTACCCGACGGGTAAGACGGTTCGGTTAAAACTGTTGCAAAACCGAGGTTTGTGGACTAAAACCGTCGGTTTTACCCGTCGTTCCAAAATATCAAGTTGTGCTTGATTTTTGTCGGTTTTCGTTCCATCGTTTCGGGTAAACACGAGGTGTGTGGGCTAAACACGACGGTTTTATCAGTGGTGGCACATGCACATTTTAATGCACATTTGAGATAATGACTGACTTAAGGCAAGTCAATAAGCAATTCCTCACGGAATTTATTGAGTTATACAGAAGTATTCCGTGTCTCTGGAAAATCAAAAGTGCCGAATACAGCGACCGAACAAAAAAAATAAAGGTTATGAAAAATTATTGGTAAAACTAAAAGAAGTGGACCCATCAGCGACAATAGACACAATAAAAAAGAAAATAGATTCACTCCGTGGTAGTTTCAGAAAGGAAATGAAAAAAGTTAAGGAGTCAAGAAAATCAGGAGCAGGAGCGGAAGAGATTTACATTCCTCACCTATGGTACTTTGAGCTTTTGCTGTTCCTGACAGATTAAGAAACCCCAAGAGCAATCAAAAACCTATAGCAACAAAGATATTAAATAAAGGCTTCTTGCCAAGGGACACTTCCCTCATTACAGAAATACTGCATATATTGTTCGCGAACGTGTTTGGCATTGTCTGTAGCATTTCTGTTGTGGCTGCTTTGCAAATTCACCAAAATGTTTGGTTCAGGCCGTAAGCCCAGTTGGATTTCACCCCTTTCTATATCTTCACTGTCAAAAGAAGTTGGTGGGCTGTAATAATCACTGCTGCTTTCTCGTAAAAAATTGTGCAGCGCACAACAAGCCAACACTTTGTCGATATTTTCTAATTTCATATTAATGGCGGTATGAAATAGTCTAAACCTGGCGGCCAAAATTCCAAAAGCATTTTCGACAATTCGTCGACATCTGGATAACCGGTAGTTAAATATTCTTTTTTCACTATTAAGTTGTTTTTGGCTAAATGGCTTCAGAAAATCCTCGCGAAGAGCAAAGGCTTCATCCCCAATAAATACATATAGAAGGAGACGCCCACTGTTTTTTGGTTCACTTGCTAGTGGTATCCTTAATGTTCCGTCTTTCAACTTGTCATAAAAAGTTGTGTACTCTATAACGCCACCGTCAGATACTCTGCCATTTGTTCCAAAATGACAATAAATGAATTTATAATTTGCATTAACAACAGCTAATAGCACGAGACTATGACTGCATTTATAGTTGTAGAAATAGGAACCACTATTATGAGGTGGTACGATCTGGACATGCTTCCCGTCCACGGCTCCGAGACAGTTAGGAAAATTCCATTTGTCTTCGAACTCTCTCGCTATAGCTTTCCAATCATTTTCCGTTTTTGGAAACTGCAATTGAATTACATAAATTACATAATTGCATAAATTACATAAAAGTATTATTTTTTTAGAGCGGATTAACTGCAAGTGGACAAGAGGAGTCACCGGCCCCATCTCCAGTTGCGATTGTAGGGCCTTCGCGACCTACCTCCGCACAATCAACTGCTACTATGTCCAGCAGTAGTAGATCTGTTACCACCAAAAACAGTAGAGCCAAAAGATGTAAGGCCGATGACATTCTCATGAAAATAGATAAACAATTGGACAGTCAATCACAAGTAGAAGATCAATTTGATGTAATTGGTAAAAATATTGCTCATAAATTACGAACTTTACCACAGCATACAGCACTGTTAACGGAGAAAATTATAATGGACGTAATATTTGAAAGCCAATTAGGAAATGTACACAAATTTACAAAAATGAATCTATACGACACTCGAAATCAACAAAATTGGTCAGCTCAGCAGAACCAGCCGCATTTTCCTCCAATGTCATCATTCAATCCACATAGTTTTCATGCACCCGTGCAACAGCAGAATTTACTGTACCCAGCATCTCAGTATTCACAACAAAGATTAGAGGAACAGTATCCAGGTACTCAACCTCCAATTCAAGAAGTGGGCCACACTGCTCAGAATACAATACAAAATAATCAAACACAGCAATATACTGCAGCTACATATATTGCCCAATTTTCAAGTGAACTTCCGGAATTGTAAATCAAACAGAACTATAATAATAAAGTGATTTTGAAGCTAATTCGTCTTAATTTTCTTACCTTTAAGTACTCATTTTTCAGTACACTATAAATAGCATCACAAGTTTCTGGTATAATTTGGCCTAGTGCTTGAGGCGAAATAACTGCAGAAAATTTGAGATCTTCATAACTTCGGCCAGTGGCCAAAAATCGTAATGTTGATGTTAGGCGCTCGTGAGGGCTAATGGACGGCCGTAAATGAGTGTCACTTTTTTTAATTAACGGTGTTACCAATCTTAAAAGTTTTAGATAGGTTTCCTCATCCATACGAAGATAATTATGCCAATCTCCTGGCTCCAATCTTAGTTCCTCCAATAAATTTATATGGGACAACATACCTCGCTTGAGTAGCCATTCCTTGGTCCATTTGGACCGTGATCTTTTCTTCGTGGCTTCCTTTTTTTTAACAACTACATCCGCTGCCACTGCCAACAACTGTATACGGTTCATCTTTGAAAACTGGCACAATTTTACCCGAGGTGTGTAGGCTCAACAGTTCTCGTTCCATCGTTCCAACAGTTTTACCCGTCGGGTAAAAACGTCGAGAAAGAACGAGGTGTGTGGGGCCCTTTACGTATTGCGCAGGCAAGGTAATGCGATTAAGTTCAAAAAGCGGTATTTCCTATTCAGACTTGTAACAGCCATTAGGCCAATTTTTACCCGATTTTTTATAATTATATTAATTGAAGTGAAAAGGCTGGTGTTAGGTAAGTGGTTAGTTTTTTGATTGTCCCTTGTATTTATTGCTGGTTGGTTAGGTTTTTTGGGAATCTAATGATCTAATGATTCTGGATTACAATCAAGCATTTTGGAGTCCTTAATCGTCGTTCCAAAACCCATACCCGTACAAAGTTGAAAAAGATATTTTTTTGGTAGTGTTGTGCTTACAACTTGAAAACTATCAACTTTTCGAAAATAACCCTCCTATTCAAAATTAAAGTACATAAAATTTCCTACAGATTCCTCTATTTAGTTTTTTTCCTCGTTGAACCGTTCAGGCGCAAGCGCCAGTTGAAAATTTGCGTATTTCGGCTGTATCCGCAAATACCCATCTTTTATTACTATTTTATTATTATTCTGTGCAAATATAAATCCGTACTTTTCATTGCCTACCGGAGTCCTCAAACGATTTTATAACTGTTCCGTCTGGTATAAAACTCTCCCACTCCTTCACAGACCTTCTAAACGACATCGGCTCACAATCTTGGATAGTGTATTTAAAAGACCTAAACATTGATAGAACAAACATTCTTTAAAACTCAAAGTGTACGTGATTCTTCAGAACACCGGAGCAAGAGGGATAATGCCGTTGAATAGGAAATCAATATACTCCTTTTGCCATTTGAATTTTTTGAATTAATAATGACCACAGCGCAACTTTTCCAAATTCAACAAATTATTGAAACATGCTACGGTAGGGTCTTGTAATTTCTTTATCTGGTTCGGAAGAGAGTGGGAATAGTTTTAGATAGCACAGTATAAGTATTATATATTATAAATAATATAATAATATGATATACCGCTTTTCGTTAGAAATTAGCTTTTCATACAATTCTGGGCTACAATAAACACCGTGAACGTTATGTAAATAAAAAAAATCACCCGTACATATAAAGTTCAAATAATAGTAGGTAAATGCAAGGAATTCACTTATTGACGACCCTTAATATTAATTTAGGGTTTTAGTGCGAAAAAACTATGTTTTGTGGAAGCAGCCGAAATACGCCAATTTTCAACTGGCGCTTGAACCCGAACCGTTCATCGAGTAAAAAACTAAATAGTGGAATCGGTAGGAAATTTTACGTACTTTCATTTTGAATAGGAAGGTTATTTCGAAAAGTTGATAGTTTTCCAGTTGTAAGCACAAAACTGCCAAAAAAATATCTTTTTCAACTTCTTTTGTATTTTTTTCAGTGTTGCGTCATGAAATTTTGTTGGCAAACCTCAGATTCGGATTCAGCACCCCAAAAAACATATAGAATCAAAGAAATCAAAACTACCCCACAACTTTCCTGGTAAAAATATAATTTAACTGGATTATACACCGTGTGTCAATATGACATTAAACAAAATATATATTTCATATGGAAACTCATATTTCTTCTTAAAAATTGTGTAATTTTAAATGTGTCTATGACCAGGTTTGGTGGTTGACACACGGTATACGTATAGGGTATAACGGAATCGCCTCAAGGCCTACCTCCCACCCATCCACACAATACGATCGGCCTTGGGGCGCTATAAAAGAAGAGACAAATCGAATGAGATTTTGTATTGAAATTTCCGGCCTCCAGGCGTCAGATGCGCAGGAAAACCTCAACAGAATTCTCCATACACACATAGAGGCTTTCCTTGAGGTCTTGCGCCTCGAGGCATGCCTTCGGTTTTTCCGTTGCGTGTGGAGCCGCCTTAACCCTACGAGTAAAATTACTCGTAGATTTAACCTAAGAATCTATAGTAAAATTGCTTGAGAGTTGACAGAAATCAACATTGAGGAATTCTAGTGCGCATGATTACAGCACAAAATATCGAAGATTTCCGTCATACGTTGCAATCAGAAAATGAATTCTACTCAATTTTCTATCGCAATTTAGAAGGTCACGATTAGCGATCATAAATGTGAGCAAAAATGTTGTCGTGACAAACGGGCCTAACGAAATAATAATATCATAATAGTTGATTAATTTATTGTATTTTTTGTTGTTGTCGGTGGTTGAAACAAAATAAATTGGAGTTGAGACATGGACGAGAACATGCAGCATGTATATTTCGAAATCAATGATGATACAATTTCTGTAGCTGTAGACACAGAAACTTACGCCACATTGACAGCTATACAAAATTGGTAAATATCTAACAAGAAATTGCCAAATTTAATAATTACAGGTAATCCTAATGAGTTGGTACCACAATATATTAAAGTACTACAAGAAAATAAAATTATAACCCTAGAACTACAAGTTGGTGTCGCCCGCGACCGTCGTTTGTTATTATCCCCTCTTAAAACGTTCACATTATCCGTACGTTCGGGCAGCGAGCTGTGACCAGTGTGGCCATATTGGGCGCTTTATCGCAAATTGGGCGATTTTGAAATGTAGTTTGTGGTTAATTTATTGCTTAAACCACAAACCACATTTTGGGCGATAATGGATTTGATTTTCATCGCGTAACATTATTGATACCTACACTTTTGACCTTGAAACTCAGTTTTAGTAGCGCGCAGCGCATGAATATTGTGGAATGTGAATATTTTGACTACAAACAGATACAATCATTTATTTATAGCTCCAGTCTCCAGTGCCGAGTCGAGTGCGCGACCGACAGCCGATACGCAAGTTGCAATTTTTAAATTTTAAGTGTGGTGTGGTCGGGCCGGTCGTGGTGTAACGTGTTTAGCCTCTATTACTGTGCCTATTTTTCATAATGGGTAAATGGGCAAAATATGTGAAACAACACCGAAAGGAATGGGAAGAAGAAAAACAATTCAAAGGTACCTAACCTACAAAGTTTTTTGTTGAATAAATATGACTTTAATACATTAGAGGTGCGTTCGGTTTGGTCATCTTTTTCATTATTTGCTCTAAAACGTTCGGAAACTGGAAATCTGACAACTCTGACAAGAACGTATGCGTTCGTTTACGTCAAAATAGAGACAAAAAAGTGTGCTCCATTCACTCGGATTTTAAGGATCGAGCTCGCAGATTTTTATAATTTTTGACAGACGTCAACAATACATAACCTGTGTTCTGCCTGTTTGAGTGGAATAAAATGAATAATGAAGTGTTATTACAGATTTTATAGTGAGTTTTACTTAATGTAATTAGATTAAACTTGCCAAGTTATATTTACAGCTATGCAAATGAGATTTTTGATTTTTTTGAATATGAAGAGGAAGGTGCTACATTACCTAAAGTTATTGATTTTGCTGAATATACTGTACCGAGGTTTGACACCCACCAGTTCCGAGAACATTTTCGGCTTTTACCAGACACTTTTGATATCATATTGGGATATCTACATGATATTAAGAATAGGGAGCATAGAAAACCTGATGGAAGGCAAGAAATATACCTGGAAAAACAGCTATTAATCACTATATGGTATTTAGCAAACTTGGAAAGCTTTAGGTGAGTTATATCTGTCATAACTACAAAGACACAACTTACGAAGAGTTTAGATCCGTAGCTTCAAGATTTAATGTTAGCAAATCGACTTGTTGGGATATACTTCAAAGAACGTCGAAGCGATTGCTTAATGTAAATGCACTATATGGAATAATAAAATGGCCCACAGAAGAAGAAGCATTGCTAACCATGCAATCCTTTGAAAGAAGAAGCCACTTTCCAGGTAGGTAATTGTATTTTTTAGGTATCCAGTTTAATCAAGACATTTGAGTTTTTCAGGCATTCTAGGATGCATAGATGGCAGCCACATCAAAATTTTGGCACCTCAGCATTCCCCAAATTCGTATGTAAACAGGAAACATTTTCATTCAATCTTAGTCCAGGGTGTTTGCAACCATAAACGGATGTTTATCGATCTATATGCGGGTGAACCAGGATCTTTGCACGATTCCAATTTATTCAGTAAATCAGATTTATGTGAACGAATTGAAAATGGAACAGTTCAGTTTTACAACAATAGTCACTTAGTCGGAGACCTTGCGTATAAATTATCAACTTCGCTAATTGTAGGTTTCAAAAATTTGGGAAATTTAACTGAAATGCAAATAAATTTTAATAAAAAATTAAACGCAGAGTTGAAATAGAAAATGCATTTGCGTTTTTGAAAGGTCGGTTTCGTAGGTTAAAATATGTAGAAACTGTAAGACTAGATTTTGTATCGTTATTTACAGTTACTGCTGCTGTATTGCACAATGCTTGCATCATGAATGGCGACTTACCAAATCAGTACGTCAATCTAGATGAAGAATTAGAAGAAGAACGTCAAAATAATGCCATAGATGCGGGAAACCATCGAAATATTAGAAATAATGCTATTGCTAAACGATTAAATATTATGCATGCATTACCTCTGTAGCCACGCCACTGTAGAAGTCAAATATGTAATATTCTATTAAACAATTTATTAACTAAACAGCTTTTAAGAAATTAACGTCAAACTGTACATAAAAAAATAATTACAAATGTATTATTCGTTTTCAGGACCACCACAATTCTTGTTCTTCATAGTGTTTGCTATATCTTGCAGTATATCAAGAAAGCGGTCTTGACGTTGTAGTCGTTCACGATGACGCTTCTCGGCACTGTTTTCCATAGTTCGTCTTTTTCTCTTGTTAGTAGGCGTAGGCGTGCTGGTTCCACTTGAGGAAGAAGCACAATCATTACCATATGCAACATCTGAAATTCAATGGAATGTATTAAATGCACCCGTAACCATAAAGATTTACCATTTTCCTCATTTCTTCGCAAACCTTTCGCACTACTACATGTAGCCACTGCTTCAATCTCGGGTTTTTTGTGCAAAATGTCATTTAAAATATCGTAAAACTTCCAGTACTTCGGTTCGTTCCCTGACGTGTCATTGTGTTTTTTCACCAACTTGTAGTGTTTTACCAAACCCTTCCACTTTGTATCACATTGAATACCAGACACTTCTATTCCAATCTTTCACAGAAAGAAAAAACTACCTAAATATGAGAAAAATAGTGATCGAAACAAGTCTTTTGACCTCAAAATCCTTCCAAAGCTTATAACCATTGCTAGAAGGTTTCGATGGTGATTGACTAATAGCGAGTGCCTCAGTATTAGGCTCCGATGACATCAATTCAGTCTCGCTGACATTGCGTTGTTTGGATGTTTAAGAACCTTAATACAATGGCTGGGAGTATCGGTTGAGGTTGTGGTTCCTTAGTATTAGGCTGTGATGACATCAATTTCGTTCGTTGAAATTGTGCTGTTTTGATGTTCAAGCGCCTTAATACAATGGCTGGGAGTATCGGTTGAGGTTGCGGTTCCTTAGTATTAGGCTCTGATGACATCAATTTCGTTCGTTGAAATTGTGTTGTTTTGATGTTCAAGAGCCTTAATACAATGGCTGGGAGTATCGGTTGAGGTTGCGGTTCCTTAGTATAAGGCTTTGAAGACGTCATTTCGTTCGTTGAAATTATGTTGTTTTGATGATCAAAAACCTCAATGCAATGCCTAGCAATTCTGGGTTGAGGTTGCGGTAAATTAGTATTAGGCTTCAAGTACACGTTATACATGTATTCTTGCTTATCCCTAAAGTTCCAATGTCTTGATTTAAGGTTCACTTACCTATTGGTTAAAGCTACGTTCATTGATCAAAGGATCGGGCTACATAAAATCAATAGCAGTGAATCAATATGCATCGCATTAATATTTTAGTGTGCCTTGACAAGACATGGGGATCAAAGATGGTTTGATACAACGTCCCCGGTCATTAATTTTAGAATCAGAGTAGAGTAGGTACATTAATTACCTATAGAAATGCTCAAATGACTTATTATTAAAGCATCAATTGTAATTATTTGTACTGATATATGTTGACACGTTTTTAGACAAAATACTTACCCTGCACATAACTGTGATAAAAGTTGAACTGAGACACAGACACAAATGAAATCCGTTATGCCTCATTTATTAATAAAATATACTTACAAAATACAAAATGAGACGCACCTAGTTCTCGCCTGATTTCAAAAAGTCTTTAAGTTCATAAACTTTAGTATAACTTTTGTTTGATTTTACATTATATAAATATGTTTCGATGAATGTCCAAAACATGTGGCACTCATTCGGATATTCGAGATTGAATACGTGGAATATTTTGAAACAGATGTCCATTGCGCGTATTATGTTATAAAATTTGAACTTCACGTCGTCGAAATAAACAAAAACCTCTCCTATTTCTTTGAGACTCTCTGCAATGGCGAATAAAAATGGCTGTATGGCTGTACCTTTGGACTTCCTGTGTTCTATCCATTGCTCTACTTGTTGGGCAGATTTTCCCAGGTAGAGGAAATACTGCTGAGAGTCTCGAATAGTGTATTTTGTAATTTTTTTCTTGCCGTTTATATCGGTTTGTGTTCCTCGATTGCTGGGCACAAAGAACCCATGAAGAAGCCACAGAATTGTGGCGTTCCGACCATCTATTGGTAGAAAATGAAAGTTAGTGTGACAAAGTAATACTTAAGGTATACTATGTAATCGTAGGTAATATTATCTACGCAATCATCAATTGATATTTTCGATAGTCGATTTGAGGACACGAGAAGCTGCATTATAAGTTAATTTCTACTTACTCTCTTCCATGTCTTCGTCCAGACTTTTTATCAAAGTTTTCAACTCTTTGTCTTTGATACTATTTGCGAGGAATTGTATTATCTTATTCGCACCGGCCTCCCAAATTGAAGAAGGGTCTTTACTATCTCTATTGAGAATGACGAAATCAAATTCAATCTGCAAAAGTAAATTACTTTATTGTTAATATTATTTAAAATCTGAATGATTCCACGTACAAATCTATATCCGGAGGGAGTTTTATATTGCGGCCACTTCTTAAAAATTTCTGCTGTTGAATTGGCTGTTCTGATTTGATTCAATCGATAATTCCCGCACGCCTTCCAAAACCGATCGAGCTCTTCGGCAGATAGATCGTCATTGCGCAGTGACCTTATTATATCCTCCGCGTCCTTTTCTGAATCTGAAACAAATAATAACGTAAATTGATAAGCATATAAACTAATATATTGAAATATATATAATATATACAAAACATTTATTCACTTACCAAGAGCAATATCAGTCCTGCTTGTATCCGTTTTTTCCGTTTTTTTCAAAACAGCTTTATTGAATCTACCGTTGCTGTTCCTCCATTTATTGTAGAGTTTTCCTCTCTTGTTAGTGCGGTAGAACTCCTAGAATTTGTTAAGTTGGAGTCAATATTTTGAACTGAATTAATTAAGCCCAACTTACCAGCTTCTCAGTCGGAAATCTCTCGACTATCTCTCGTTCCAATTGATAGCTTGCTGCCATTGTCATGGGGATGCGATTATCCTCGAAGTATCTTGCTATTAAACTGATCAGGGCTCCTCTCTGTTCGTTTTCAAATTTCGAATTTTTTTCCCAGTATTCCATCAACAGCGCTGCTTTCGGGGAGTCTTTCAGAATAGTTGCCAATAGCACTTTGGCACCTGATCCCGCATCGGTTGAATGATGGGATGAACACGGTGACCTTATGTCTGATGGTTCAAGATTGTCCACCCAGATGGATGTGCTTGCGAGCTGCCTTGTCATACCACTTCCAGTGGGGCCAGTTTCATAGGAATTTAGAGGGATACCAATTGATTGTCTCCAGAGTGAGAGATAGTGCTCGAATTCAATTCGCGTTCCAACGTCATATTTTTCGAGCAACTCCCGCACATGGTGTCTCCCCATCATTTTGAGCTGAGGCACGAAAACCTTCTGATCTGAAAAAAAACATGTCAAAATACTTATCAATGCTTATATATAGGTACAGAATTATTTATTTGGATCATGCAAATTAGTTCACTATTTAGATTGTATTTTGGGCAAGGACGACTGCGTTCTCTTTTTAATATTTAACAAATCATGCACTCTTTTTTTTTAAATTAGATAATTTTCAATGATCGTACCTTTTGTTCGTATTCTCCAAATGACTGTAACCTGCAGCAACACTCAAACACTACGCTCTTTTCGTTACGAATCGCGAAATAATTGAATAGTGCGTGGCATAGGCTAAAACCCAGGTCACTAGGACATGTAGGCGTTGTAACAAGGATTGCGAGCCTTGATTTGAGACGTCTGATTATTATTTCAAGGCACCTAACCCTTCGGTTGAGGCAGTGTCCTTAGTATCGCACATCTAGTTCAATAGTGCCGCAAGTGCCAACACAACAATGTTAGAGTACGTGCAAATAAAGTTAGTGCTGTTTAGATATCCAACCATAACAATTGCATATTACTATCGATTTTTGTGCGCCTTGTCATACATTGATTATTTAATGTGATACTTTGATTTTAATTTATACCATTATCAATGGATTAATTAAAAGTATAATTTTGTTAGTTGTGGCCATATTGCGTCCACCACTTTTGAACCACCCGTGCATAAAACCAAATAGTTTTCTAGTAGTTGTGGCGTTATTGCAGTAAATTACTAACTGAAATATTTTTTTTATTCAAAAGTAAAAAATATATAAAAGTATATAAAAGCACGTTCATTATACTCTAAAAAAGTTAAACGATTACTTTTCACCAATTATGTTATTATAGAACCCATGGTACACTTTTTTAATAGCATTTTTTGCACATAAATAAGCAAGATGTTCTTTAGTTTTTTGAGATATCGATGGGGCTTTTACAAAGGCCTTTTCGGGATAACATGCGCTAATGTCAATGCAACGCCTTAGTTTTTCCTGGATGTTAATTTGTTCATATTCAAGGAAGTCAAAGTCAGTTTTATAAAAAAACGACGTTGGATAATTTTTTTCTACGCGTAGAACTTGAATCTCATTCCACACAACCTTTTCTTGTTTGGAATTAATTGAAAAATTTTTCCCAATTGTGTCGCTAAATTTTTTAAAATCCAGAAAATCTTCTGTGGCAAGTTCATTCACGATGTAGGGTGTACCTTCTTTCTTGGCCGCTCTGATAATTGGAGCCCATTGTGACGGTACATAAATAGGGCCACTTCTTAGTACTCTACGCTTCTGGCGCTCAATACTGGCGTGCATTGAGTCTCCTTCATTTTGGGTATGGCCTACCGTAAGGAATTTATGTGTAATGCTTTTGACATCAAATTTGTTAACTGCGCAGAGATACATAGAAACAATCATTTTGTTCTTATTTTGCCCTACGCAGTTGTCGGAATAGAAGATGACATCTTTTCCTTTGCACTCCGTTTTTAAATAATGTAATATACAAGTTGCTATTTCATTAGCACCTCTATTAGCAATCGCCTCATGCCAAAAGTAACAAAACCCTCTTTTCGATGGTATTTCAAAAACTGTGAAGTTCAAACAATTTAAACGGCATTTGTAATAAAATGTGGAAACATCTCCACAAGGCGTCGGTAAAACCGCTTGTAAGTCAAAACAGGCTATTTTAAAGGAAGAATCTTGTTTTCCTTTCTCGACGTCTCGAGCCTTTTCTTCTCTACTCTTGATTTTGTTGTTAATGTGCCGTTCGTATCCTTTCTGAAGCGACAATCTTTCGTCTGTATCAGAATTTTTAAAGGTTTCGCAAATTGCACATTGGTCCTTTTTAGGTTGGAAAAATGATATGTTAAATTGGGTTTTAAAAATGTGTTCATAGGTACATTTTTTGGCAACTGGCAACCCTTCAGCCTCTTGCTCGGATTTATAGTATCGATACATTTGCGCTATCGTTAAAGATCCGTCTATGTACTCTCGTGTCGTCTGTGCTCTGAGATAATGAGATTCTATTCGTTCAAAAGAGTTGATGTGAGCAACAATTTTTTCTTTAATCGAAGTATTGATTGTTTCCCTCTTATTGAAGTTTCCTCTTCGATCTCTTTCTATCAGAGCATTACCATTCGATTTTTTCCATGTTGTCCTTATAAACTTATCACCAATGTCCAGGGTGTTCATGAAAAATGTTTTACACACTTGTATTTTAATTCCTCGCAGCGTCAAGTAATAACACAAATTTTCACTGCGATTACTTCCCTCAATGGCTCGACGGTATTTTACTTTTAGAGTTTCCATGTGACTACTTACAAATTGTCTTTGAAGAGCATTATCTCCTTGTTTCCAAAAACAAGTGTGAATAGTTAGTCTATCAGCATCGGTAAATTTAGTAGTACACGCTGACCTGCATTTTGTTGTACAAGGAGGTTTTAAACGTTTTCCAGGAATCTCCCTATTACCTTCAGACACATAGGGCAAACCTGAATTTACCCTCATTTTTTTCACGTTCCTTTTCCAAGTTTCGGGCCTAGCGATTATTTTACGTGGTTTTTTCTTTTCATCTTGAGCTTCAGCGATAATCCGTTTTTCTACATCATTATTAGGGTTCACTTCGATTTCAGAGCTTGTGTTTTCTGGTGAACTAGAATCATCACCTGAAGGTGTGTAATCTTTATCATTAATGGAATCATCTGAGTCAAAAATGGCTGCATCATTATTAATCTAGAACGCAAATGAGTGTAATATGGGAAGATTCTGATATTAACTGGTCACCTCCTCCGCTTGCTGGTCGTCCAAGGGAGTCACAACATGTCCATTACTAATCTCTGACACTGCAGTATTCCCTGAGCATCCTGGTAAATCTAGCGTTGTTGAGTTCTAATATAAAAATAAGTACATAATTGTTATTTAAAGTTAAATCAACTTACGTTATGTGCCTCTAATCCAAAAATGGGATCATTGTATTTCGAAAAATCTACCTCTAAGTCCAATAAAAAGGGTTGATTCGTAGAATACTAAAATAATAAAAATTCAAATAAATGACAATATTATTTGTCGTGAATCATGACAGATTCATTTAGACTTACTTCTTGTAATATTACGTTAGGTACCAACTGGCAATTTTGAAGTTCAGCATACGTTTTCTTTGGTTTAGAGGTGTTCTAAAATACAAATACATCTAGAGATTATAAAACCAAGCGTTTGTTTACTCGAACCTCACTCTCTTTCGGATCCTCGTTTTCAATGTTATCTTTATCTAAAGCCAACTTTACTAACTTTTTTGCACGAGACATAATAACAAACGAATGTGCAATACTCGCTCAAGATACAATATTTGTTCACTTAACACCAAATTAATCTGTTGCCAGCGGAAACAAACACACACTTCACTGTTGTTGGTAGGAAAGCAACTGCGTCATAATTATAGCGGCAAAATAGTTTTTGATGCTATAGAGCCATAACTGTTGTTTGCGGCGGTAGCGCACCATGATGCGCAAGTATTCAAGAATCATATGGCCACAACTGACAGTTACGGCTCTATTGCACCACAATACTATGAACCTGCAATAGGGAAATATCTTACACTGCATTGAATAATATTAAAATGTTACATATGGCTATATTGCAGTGCATGCGTTAGACATAGAAGAACAGCAATATGGACTTAAGTGAAAATTTGAATTTTTTGCACTTATGGCACTATTGAACTAGATGTGCGGTATGATGCATTCGTGCATTACTGAGTGGAAGACGGACCTTGGTTCAAGACACTGGAACATTAATACAACAACTTGAAACATCAACAGATTACATATACATGGGCGAGTGTGCGCCTTGATTTCAGGCAAGGAATTATTATTTCAAGGCACAATAACCTGCGTTTGAGGTAGTTCAAACATAACAAAATGACGCGTCATTGGTCGGTACCTTGATAAAGTAAAACCAAGAGTGGCATAATAAATGAAGCATAAAAGGCTTGGAACTTGGAACATCAGCTTATTATACACACATACAGTGATTACTGATTAGCGCATTTTTGAACGAAGTTGGGTGCGCTATTCCACTTTCTCTGTCCGTCCGTCCGTCGGAGACCTTAACTACTCATAGGTATAGTAAAAATCCTGCTCATGCGCAGACTGGGTAATGCCAACTTTCTTATTTGTGGAGATAATTCTTTAAAATTTTAACCAAAGAAGCTTCTAGCTAGTACAGGCAAACAAATCGCATATTGTAAACATCAGGTGCGCGCAACGCAATGCTAAGTTTCTTATTTATAAAAATATTTATGCTTAACTTATTTTCCTTTAAATAGTCCATTATATGACCTTTTGGGAGGTACTGATCAATTCATGGTAAATGCGCTAATGTTACTGGCCTTATGGCGAAAACCTTTTTATCGTTTTAAGAGTGGCCATAGCCATAGGGAAATGCATATTCATTTATTTTCTTCTCCAAAAGGCAATTAAACTCTACCTTATGAATATGTTGTCGTACTGTGCTTTCAGTGGTTCTGATGGAATAATATTGCAAACTACGATTGGAAATAGGTTTTAATCTCTTTTCGAAGGTGAGAATATACCAACTTGGTATCCAGTACTGGAAGCACAATAGATTTATTAATTATTTTAAATTTTATTGTACTGGGCCGTCAACAGGCTTGCCCCTATATTACAGAGTGACCCGCATAATGCTCTCAGCATTACTTTAGGAATTCCATCATCTCGAATTGGGGTGGAAGTATGAGCTTATAAAACTCGGTATTGATGTCTTCCCCACAAATATATTATATCGCATTTTTGGAACAAAAGTGCAGCTTATAGTCTCACTTTGGCCGGCTGGTGATCTCTGAGTTCTCGAAAACTACAATAGATAGAGACTTCCGGTTTTTTGCGTTAGCTTTGTGCTTAAAAGTTATGTGTCCGCCGGATATTTATATTGTTGTAATCGGTAATGTCACTGATCTACACACCAAAAATGCGTTTAAGTCATGCGGCTACCCGCAGACTTTTTTAACATCTTTTCTGCTGGTGTGATTATCTGCAACAATCGTCCAGCAACTTGTGAATACCTACATTGAAACTCTGGTTTCCTTGCAACTTGCAAGTTACTAAGTTCAATGCTGTATCTCAAAACAATTTGCATTTTTTCTTATGATAATTTAACGCATATGTGTTACTTGAAACGTAGTACCTACCTATACATTGGTGGAAGGCATGCTGCCTGCATTAATCGATTATAAGATTCATTGAAACAATAACTTCTGTTAATGAAAAGTACACAATTTTCAAACATTTGTAGGCATCACCGTAAGGCAAAATTTACATTGTCAGTATGTAAAACTACTACAATAGATACAATTTCACATCAACCGAATGAATGTACAACCTTGTCGCAAGGGTTGCGTAGTCCTAGCATTAACGCCCAAGGTTATTAACTGATGATTGAATAGCATTGATTCTATACCAACATTACATCATACCAATGTAAAAGTACATTGTGCTGATGTTTTCAAGTCAAGACACGACAGTCATTGATATGAGGTTAAAAATTTTTCTCTGTGTTTCAGATAAAATTCTTCCTATCTTCGTCCATACATGTTTTTTAATACCTCTTTCAAATTCTGCCACATATTTCTTGTATAATTCAATCAAAATTATGACGTTATTGTCCGTCCAGATCTTCTGTTCCTCAGTACTTGCCTGAACCTCTTCTTGCCCAATAACTTGAAGTGTTTTGATTTCTTCGGAGACATATTCTTGTACTATATTCACAAGTATCGAGGGATCTCTTGGAAAGTAGAAACGGCACAATTTTGTGGAATTATTATTACGTAATGTATTACTTACCGTCCTGTGCATCAATCACGTCATACGGTACTTCTACTGCAATATTATCAGCTTCGTTAATCCTCAAATGTAAAACAGCACTTTTACCAGACATATTTATTGTCACAAAATTCCAACAACCCTAACCTATACAAATTTTGTAACAAGTCGCTGTGAACGCGTTCGTTTACACTACGTGTGCTCTAAAAACTCCGAGAATCACGTGACAAAAATCTGCTCTGATCTGTGATCTCCAAACCGAACGCACCTTAGGTTGGCTAATAAGTAAAGATGATAAAAGTTATTGCAAATTATGCAATGCAGAATTACGATCGCATCGAGGTGACCTCATTAGACATGCTACAACGTCCAAACATAAATCAAACATGAGTAAAATAAACAACCACTGCAGTTTAAGAAACTTTGGTGAGTACTTACCATGATATTCAATACACACCTTAAATATCAAATTATTTATTAAGTAAATAATTATTAAATAACAATTAAATTAATATCTGAACTCGGTTACGTTGCGCTAATAAGCCCCCCAGGTATGATCATGAAATTGATAGAAATGGATAGAGGACACCTTAATTACACGTTATCAGTTTAAAAATTTGCGGAAGAAGCCTTACATTTTCCACAATCTTCATTCAAAGTTTACTTCATTTCGTCGTAAGTGAGGTTATATTATTCAAATTACATTGTTGATTTTCAGTTGGTTATAGTGTTCTTAAAGTAGTTAGAGCGCCTAGGTAAAAGTAACAAGAAGTTGGTGAAAATTTGGTCACTTATTCTCTGAGAGACGCACTTTCTAATGGTCAAAAGAAAAAAGTGTTTCTATGTGCCGTTTCTGAGATATTTGACAGTAAAAACAGGGTATTTTAACATGGGCTCTTATGGACAGACTCAGTTTTTTTGAGCTAGCGAAGGTTTTTGTATCAAGGCTTAAACGAGATGGGTCTCATTAGAAGCGAAATTTTGTGACGAATCTAAATATGCACGGAAAAGTACGTATTCATGATGAAATAAGGAAGATATTTACCGCCGAAGCGGCGTCTGCTCTGGCGCGGCGGCGCGCTATGCAGCACGCGTTTTAATCTGATGACTTTTCCACTAGGTCTAGTCATAAAAAAAACACGGATAGAAACGAATCGCACATCCGTGAAAATCGTCACGTTTTGTAGCACCACTTGTGTTTGGACCGGTAACTATTTAGCACGTATCATATCCATTTAAACAGGTCTCTGTATAGAATTAAAATTGCTCTGGAATGTGTAACGAAATTTTTAGGTTATGTGTTTCGGCAACGTGCGTACAATCCGTGTATTTTTTATAGTGCTTTACAACTTATATTTGGATTAAATAACTGTAGTTATGCTTTGTTTGAGTTTATTAACATAATAATCACAATAATCACAAATCACGTGTGTGATTTGTGATAATAATTCTTCGTTTATCAAATAACGACCACAAAATGGATTTTTCGGTATCACCTAAAAGAAAGTGTTGTGTACATAATTGTAAAGATCAATTTTTACCAAGACATCGTTTTCCTAACCCCAAACATTATTCTGAACTTTTCAAAAGGTGGCTTATGATACTTAGACCGCGGAATTACATTAATTATACCGATTTCGAGATATATATATATAATACATTTAGAGTGTGTGAAAGACATTTTGAAGCCCACAACATCATTGCCGGATCTCGAAGAGGACTAAAGTATACAGCCATTCCCACTTTATATTTAGAAGGTAAATCACATTTTAACAATTTGCCTACATAATTAAATGTAATTTGTATGTAGAAATACCCTGTTCATCCAAACAAGCAGATGAAATATTGAGTTGCAGCCAGTTAAATGTTGAACAATTTAATCTACAAGTCCCAGAAGATGAATCTCATAAGAGTAAGCAGGAAATGGAAGCAGAATATGGGATAGGTATGCGCAACATTTCAATGTTTTTCACGAATTACCTACTTAGGCAATTAATTTGTTTAATGCAGAAATATCAGGTTCATCGGAACAATTCAACCAGGAAGCCCCAGAAGATACTTTGAACAAAAGGACACAGCCAATGGAAGTGAATTCTGTGAGAGGTATGTAAACAATTGAATCGTTTAAATATATTTACATTACTGCGCTTTAGTGATAAAGAAACGAAGATTATCTTTATTGAAAGATGTCGGAGTGACTCGATCCTCTCAACTTGACCCAAGGGCCAACCTGCTCTACAAAAAGTTGACCACCTGGAGTGTGAAGATGGCAAGGATGGCTAGGAAAATAACCTCCTATAAAATTCGTTTACAAAAAGCACAATTATGCAATTCTGAAGGATTTCAGAAGATAATGAGCCAAGTAAACAATTACACACACCAATTTATTTTGTCACAAATTCGGAACCAAGAACGTGCTCTGAAGTGTAGAAGGTATACACTTGAAGACAAAATTTTGGCATTATCACTGTACAAAGCCAGTGGAAAGGGTAAGAGTTTTATTAGGTATTCTGCCGAAATGTTTAGTTACGTTTTTACAGGATATAGACTATTGTCAAAAATTTTCGCACTTCCTCATCCAAGGACATTGAGCAAGTTGTTGCAAAAAATTCCTTTACAACCAGGAATTAACGAAATTATTTTTAAGTCTCTACAGGAGAATATTAGAGGTATGAAGAAAGACGACAAAATCTGTATTTTGATGTTTGACGAAATGTCGATTGATGTAAATGTATATTATAATCGTCACAATGATATTATTGTGGGAATTGAAGATTTTGGTCATAAGAGATCTTCTAAATTAGCAGATCATGTCAATCTTTTTATGCTACGTGGACTGCATCGCCAGTGGCGACAACCAGTTTCTTTTACGTTTTCGTCTGGGCCTGTGACCTGTGAAAACCTTAAATATCAACTTACAGAGGTTAGTCATTTTTATGCTACTTATTTAGGTTACTAATATATAGGTCTTTAGGTAATCAAGAACTGCTTAGAAATAGGCCTAGACGTTGTGGCAACAGTATGCGATCAAGGGGCATCAAATCAAGCAGCTATAAATTCCCTTATTAAGGACACCAGGGAGCACTTCCTAAGGGAGGGACAAGAAAATCGATTGTTTGGATTTCTTGTTAATAATCAAGAAATCGTTCCTTTTTATGATGTCCCTCACTTACTGAAAGGAATACGTAATAACTTATTAAATAAAGATCTTCACTTTGTTATGAATAACAAAAAAGGGATCGCAAGCTGGAAACACATCGTGAAATTTCATAATTTGGACAGTTCCGAACCAACATTAAGATTATGTTCCAAGTTAACAGATGAGCATGTGGTTCCAGAGAAAATTAAAAAAATGAAAGTTTCCTATTGCACACAAGTATTTAGTTATACAGTAGGATCTCTAATGATGAGGCTTTCAAAATGGGGTAATTATTGTAGTGGTTCTTTGGGTATAGCTTTTGACTTACCTTGTATATCTCTTGACCCTGTATAAATATGAAATAAATGTGTACATGTATTGTATATAATGTGATATTGGGTTTCGATGTTTGTTATGCGCCGGCTAGTAATACTTGAGAATTGAGATTAAACTGATTTAAAATTGGGATGCTTTTACCTACATAAGCTTTGATTCCCTTTATCAAAATATAAAGCGTACTGAACTTGTGCTTTTCACCAATTCAACAACTACAAAACTACAAATTTATTATATCCTTACAAGAAACGAATGGTCTACATCTATAAAATACAAATAGGCAATTACACCCTATACAAAAACAATAAATCCTAAAACACGGTAATTCCAACGCTCATATGGCAATGGCGGCAATACAAATAATGTAAAACTTCTGACAACAAAAGCAAATAATTCACAGTAAAATGTTCTACCAAAACTTAAAGTTCTTTACACGATACGCAACACAGGCAAAATGTATATCGAAAACGAGTGTTCTCAAAGTAAGACCTTATGCAACTACAAAGGCAAAATGTCAACAACCACAAATAATTGTGATGGATTAAATTAACGTGTGAATTTACATTGGCCAATATTTTCTGTACTTCGTATTTAAGAATGCGTATAAATACCTTGTCGAAATAAACACAGGTGATGTTCCACAAAGGTTGGTTATCGGAATCCCCAGATTAAGGGGGATCTCACACGATAGAAAAGTTTCTAAGGGGACTGAAGAGTGCTAAATATGTAAACGAAAGGGGCATGTCCTATTACATTCGTATGCATTACGGTAAACGGCGAGCAACCACGAGTTGGCTATTGCTTTGAACCAACTTTTTTACAGTGCCGCAGTAAGCAACCAGCCATTTGTAATTTAATTTATGCTAATTGATTACAAATTTGCAAAAACAACCTGATATGGTGGCGCGTACACTTTTATTTCAATTATAAGCTATTATTTATCTTTTTACAGCGATAAGCATTCATTTCTTTGTATATGTTTAATAAATTAAATGGGCGAATTAAAAATAAAGTTTTGCCTTATCAATTTCCAATTCACCAAAAATAAAACTTTATATAGCTCAGATATCTAACACATTCTATTAGTCTACATTTTTATGTTATGCGAGGTACTTCAATTAAAAATTTTCTTTTATTGGTAAAACGTCGGCTAAATTTAGTACTGAGTGCGTAAAGTTTTTAATTTGTGTTTGCGAAGTGTGATGTGAAAGCAATAAAAATGGACGAAGAAAATCATTATAGACGGGGGAATAAAACTCGTTTGCGCTTGAGCACCTATCGGAAAAAAAGAAAGTCTTTCCCTGTTAAAAAACAGGCAAGTGACCATTTGAACTGTTTGATAAGCACTTTTTGACAGTTATATTTTAGAATCCGATTTCAACAGCAGAGAATTCTTCAACTTCAGATCACAGCACTCAACGGTTCAGGGTATTTATTTCGATAAAATTACGTAGCTGACTACTAGACTACTTCATAATATGTTTTAGAATGATGAACCTAATTTTCCAACTTCACCTACTACTGCTTTGCCTTCTTGTTCTTATGTTATTCCTGAAAATCAACCAACTGTAAGTAGTGCGTATTACTTTTGAGGTATCTTATACTATAATAGTGTCAATTATGAATTTTGTGTAATATCTACTGAATTTAAATGTAAAAAAATTCCAAATTTTGATGACGTTTTGAACTTGTAGGGTAGTGCAACAATAACAAGCACATTCATGGATTTCCCAAATAGCCAAATGTTGGAAGGTCGACGCATTGTGGATATTAAATCATTTTTTGAATCTATTGTGCGTATAGGAGCACACGGTCAACAATTTGGCTGTTCGTTGAGCAACGTAGTGCTCCAAAAGGAAAAGATGCAGGGTATTCGTTCTTCCTTACACCTAAAATGTAACATGTGCAATGAAACGTTCAAGCTTGATACATCGGATGCCAGCGTCAACAGGGACGCGGTACTTGCCATGATGGCTATCGGTTCAGGCTTTTCCCATTTAGAACAAGTAACATCATCGTTGGAAATACCATGCATGTCATCACGCATGTACACTGCGTTGCACGATGAGGTGTCTGAAGCTTGGGAAGAAACAAGTTTAAGAACGATGAAGGAAGCCGCAGAGGAAGAAAAGCAAATTGCCCTACGTAATAAAGACGTCGATAAAAATGGTGTTCCATGTATCACGGTAGTAGCAGACGGAACTTGGGCGAAAAGATCCTACCATACAAATTTCAACTCGTCATCAGGTGCTGCCGCTGTTATTGGATACAGAACAAAGAAAGTTCTGTTTTTGGGTGTCAGAAATAAATTTTGCACGGTATGCAAAATAGCTGAAACAACAGGCGACACAGTTAAATCCCATACGTGTTTTAAAAATTGGAATGGGTCTTCGGCTGCTATGGAAGCTGACATTATCGCTGAGGGATTTTCAAAAAGCATGGAAATGTACGGCTTAATTTATGAGAAATTGATTGCGGATGGTGATAGCAGCTGCTATAAAAAAATTTTAGATACAAATCCTTATGAATCTGTGGTTGTCGAGAAAATTGAATGTAAGAACCACCTGTTAAGAAATTTTTCCAGAAAAATACGGGAGTTAATTAAAGACACATCATCGGGTCCACTAATACTTCGTAAAAAGATACAGGTAGATGTCTTGATTTTTCACTTTAGCCCTACATACAACTGTTAATTTATCATTTCAGCAAAATCAGTTAAGACTTCGTTGGGCGGTTTGCAAGGCAATATCTTTTCGAAAATCGGAACCTATTCAATTTCAAGAAAAAGTGAATAACTTGAAGAAAGACCTTGGCAACTGCATTAGTCATGTGTTTGGTGAACACAAAGATTGTGCAGCTTTGAAATATTTTTGTGATGCAGCCCCTATTGCGCATGGAAGTGTAGTAACGGATTTAAAGCACACAGGTACTTATTTTAAATTGTATTGTAAATAAGAGATATCATTTCGATAAACATTTTCGTCAGTTTAAATATATTCCATTATAGATTTACACGAGAAACTGGAATCATTCATAAATGTTTTGGTTCACCACGCTAGAAGCCTAATTCATGACGTGGACAGTAATATTGTGGAACACTTTAATTCTATAATTGCGAAATATATCGGAGGGAAACGTGTAAATTATACGAAAAAAAGGTCCTATCAAAGTAGATGTGCGGCAGCAGTTGTAGCCCATAACACCAAACAACCTTTATTTACGGTAAAAAAATATTTGTCTAACGGTCTAACTCCAAAACGGTATGCAATAAAAGCTGAGCTACGATCTATTAGAAGAAATAATTTAAAAAAACAAAAACCGAAAAAACCCAAATGTAGAGACAAGGAAAATGATAGAACTAGCAACAATAAAGATTATGGTGATTCTTGTAAAAAGCCAGATCTGAATTTGGAAGATTATGAATTAGCTAAACAGATTTTTTTAGAAAACCTACATAAAAGTGATCATGAAATTGAAAAAATAGAAAGAGCAACACAAACCCAAGAATCCTGCAGTCTGTGGTATATAGAAAGAAGAAAGCGACTTACAGCTTCTAAGTTTGGCGACGTATGCCGCAGGCGAGAATATACTTCGTGTAAAGTTTTAGTGGACTCCATAATATATTCTAAACACTTTTTTAGTCAAGCTTGTGATTACGGGAAGCGCAACGAAAAGAATGCGAGAGAAGCAGTTGAACAGGTTGTGGGAGCAAAAATTCAACCTTGTGGTTTGTTCATCGATTCGAGTCATCCATTTTTGGCGGCTTCTCCTGATGGCTTAATTGGAGACATGGGTATACTGGAAGTGAAGTGCCCATGGTCAGCCAGAGAAATGACTCCCGAAGAAGGCATTTCCAAACGAAAGATTTTGTTTTGGTCCAGCAAAGGTGAAGTGAATCAGAACCACAAGTGGTACTACCAAATTCAGGGACAACTGCACATCACCAGAAGGCAATACTGTGTGTTTGCTGCTTGGACACCAAAAGGGTTAAAAACAGAAACAATTTTGAAAGACGATCAGTTTTGGAAAACTGAGATGGAAGAAAAGTTGGTTTCGTTTTATATGAAGTGTTTATTGCCCGAACTTGTTGACCCCCGTAAAGTGCGCAATATGCCCATTCGTGATCCGGACACAATTTTACAGGCTATAGAAAACAGAAAAAGAAAGTTGCAGGCCGAATCTAATTGATTTTTTCGCCAATCGATGGTGTTTGGTAAAATTATAGTGACTTGTTATTTATTTTTAAAAAAATTGAGAAACAAAGAAAGTACCATTTACTTGCCTTTTCTAAATGTTATAATTCATCAAAATATCTTTTTTATGTCTGTTATATTTTCTTCTTGAAGCGCTCATTGATAGGGTTTTGTCACCCTTTCTGGAAATATACTTGTTGTATTGAGAGGCATATTTGGGAATGCAATCAGCTAGGGATTCCGAAGAATTCGAAAAATTTTGCCGCTACGGATTTTGACTTTTAAAGGTTGTGAATGAGCTGCGAAGTTTCTGAAAGTTCTGATGATTCATAAGGTTTTTGGTATTTAGATTTTTTCGCATCATTACATCCTTCCATTAGTTAATCTACTTATTGTTTGGTGTGAAGAAAATTTACGTCTTATTCAGTTGTTAATGCACTGACCTAATACAACAAAGAATTAATTCCATGCAATTCACTAAAATCGGTTGTGAGAAATCCTCCTTAATACGTCCAGTTTGCGTTCACGTTTAGTTCTTTTAAACGCGTAACGTCGCGCCACATTATGGTCAGTAAATTTCACAAAATGTTGAATTGCAAGGGTTTCGTGCACAAATTCTAGCAAGTTTATTTATGAATATTTTTTCTCCAAATTTTTTTTGCTAGACAGAAGAAAGATAAATCTATGCTTCTGTAGTTTTACATTTTTAATTAATGTATTTATCAACCCCCCAACAATGCGGAAGTTTGGACAAATATTGGCTATGTTTACATTGATATTTCTTTCGCTCACTCGAGTAACTTAAAAATATGTTACTATAGAAGCATGGCAAATTTGTTTATGAACAGATTAAGCTATTAACCAATCTTCTATCCCGTAAAATAAAGTCTCAGGAATTTGTCCACGAAACTCCTGCATGCGCATGTAAATGAGCGATGTGAGATCCCCCTTAATTACTATAGCTCTCTGGTGGGTATGCTTCCAGCGATACAGGTATGTGTTTCGGCGAACTGCATTACTGACCACCTTGCCCGTCAGGAATTTTCACAATATACAAAATGACTTCTTCTGGTGATGATTCCTGGTACTCAATAGAAGGCTTTCTTTCTTACTCCAAGCAGGCTGGTAACTACCAAATTTGTCAGGCACGTGGTGGATTTTCCTGGTATCTCTGAAGGCGTCTCAAGCACGTGGTGAATCTCTACTTCGTCGAATTCACGTGAAATCTTCCTTCCCACCGATTACCTTTATTTCACAAAACACTTTGCACACGCTAATAACTAATGATTTCGTAATGTAAGCAAATATTTCGCCTCAATCACCACTTAATTTTAGGCAAAAGCCGCCATACTCTCCTCTGCCTGTCACCTCTACCCTTCCTCCTTTAATTAAAAAGGCGCGCTGTTTAAACTACCTATATACACAGTGTTATGAAATTATTTGACCATTCGTTTCGACATTTACTTATATAAACAAATAATCGTGAAAATGAAAAACCTAATTCGGTACTGCTTCATTATGAATAAATTATTATATTTTACATGTAATACAGGGTAGCAATAGTTGTCTGAAAATAATAGATATGCATGCCTGTAGACAACATTTTAACTAGTACATTATACACTGAGCTATCTAAACTTTTTCAGACACCAATGATGAGTTCAATTTGGGGTCTGAAGTAAGGGATACTGCGGATTTGATCCTCTTTTTAGACCAGCTATTTGATAGCTTAAACAATCAAGCGCTGCGTCAACATCCCGGTAAAGTTTATCGAAGCTGTGTCACAATAAACAAACTCTCCCCATTCAGCATTTTGGTCCAATGCAGTTAAAGTGGTGGAATCGATGCAGTTTTTTTGTAACAAGAGACAGAAATTTGTATATAATCCATCTTTAAAAAATTTAGCACATGCTATAAGAGCTTTTATGATATATGTAAAATATTATTTAGAAATAAGAAATTTGCATTTGTGGCAACTAGGGCCTTTAATCAAGACCCTATTGAAATTTGTTTGGTTATATTAGAAGTCATAATTAAACCGAATATTAATCCAAATGCTTCTCATTTTGTGGCATCAATGAAATCATTGATAGTCAACAATTTTCTGGCTACTCATTCACCTTCCTCTAACTGTGAGGAAGACTTAACTCCGGAGGGTTAGACAATCTCAAATCATTTATTACTGGTATTCCTAGCCAGTCACTGGTACATACACCAAATTTGTATAATCAAAAAATTGAGGTACCAGAACACATAATCCCTTCATACAAAAACCAAACTACACAGATCAATAATTACATACATTAGTGGTTATGTAGGCCGATTGTTAATTAAAAAATTAAGGTCTGTGACACATGTCAAAGAATTTACAAATATCAGACACTAAATTTTGATCATGACATAATTTTGGCAAGGAAGTACCAAAATGCAAATTAGTTATTCCTGGTAGTTATTTAAATGTTTATGGTTAGTAATTGTTTAAATAGTTTATTTTATTGGATACCAAGAATAGCGTATGTTCAAAGATATATCTTCTGTGTTCATTTTTACTTAGAAAAATTTTAGTTTTTCACCTTTTAATTGTATGAACATAATGTAGGAGATGCCTTTGTATCATTAATTGTGCGATGTTGTTTTATATTGGCGGTTTAGGAGTCTTAACAAAGTTGCCTAAGGGTAAAGATGCCAAGTTTGTTAGTTTTTTAGCAAAGAAACCTCCCGCACATTTGATTGAACCAGTTAAGTTGCAGCACATAAAAAATATTTAATGAAAAAAAAAGGAACACAGTTACCTAATTATGGAGATACTTGTATTTATTAGGAGTAGGTACTTGCAATAAAGCAATTATTAAAATTACAAAAAAAAATATACCCTAATTTGTATCAATGTATGTATTTAATTTGCTATAATATTTTTAGATAAAAATTTTTTACACGCTCCTTGTATCAAATTGGATATTCCTCCTTTTTATGGCATATTTTTTTACTTAAGCTGTTAAAACTGAAAACACCTATTAATCTCATTTGCTTTGTAAACGGTGATCCTCAAGTACCTTGGCTTTAATTTAAAAAAACGCGCCAAAAACCATAGAGTATCAATATATTCAAACAATGACTGTAGGTAATGCAGATCACTGTAAAAATTGTGGCAACAAGGTATTACAGATCACTATTTAAAAACTTTGCGGTCCAAACACGAGCGGCGCTTAAAAACGTGGTACTTTTATTTTATTACCGATTCGTTTCTATCAGTGTTTTTTTTATGGGTCTAGTATATAACTGAGCTAGGACAATCTTTTCCTTCTTCTGCTGAGCACTTTCCTTCACAAAAGGCATGGTGTCTTTCAGAAAGAACACCAAAACCAGCGATATTTATAAAGGCCTGCACACGTCTTGTTGACACACTGATCAGATCGAGATCAAGATAGCGGCTGGGGATCTCTGGCGCCAACATCGAAAAACCAAATGCACTATACCGACTTCATGTAAAACGCCAAATTATTTAGTTTCTCGGCTTTTAGATACGTCTCGCATACGTTTTGATTAAAAATAAATATATTCGTTTAGGATTTCCCGCTTACACTGTGAATATTTAGTCGCGGTGTGTCGTCAACATTTAGTGTGCAAAGGTTTGAAACAGCGTCGAAAAGTAGGGAGACTAGTCAAGTTGACTACTGTATATACCTTTTTAAAATTCATGTAAGACGTTTGCATTGTGTTGAGGTACAAAATACCACTCATACCGTATTTCTAATTATGTTTCCTTCATCACAACATTTTTTTGGGGACGTTTACCGTAAGTAATAGGTAGGCCGAGTATCTCGCTTGACTTCAGCCGAACGCGCTCTAACTACTTTAAAATTCCTCAGTGCCAACTTTAATTTCTTAAGGGGTTATGTTATTTTTTCACGATATAATAAACATTAAATAATGATGTATAAGAATTATACATGTGTTTTTAATTATATCATAATAGTAGTAAGCAGTTCCCTACATGTTTTCCTTAATTCATGTTCATGTTTCAATCCCAGTGATTTGGAAATAACACAAGGCTGTTGAAGTGAGATTGACAATATTATTATAGAAAATGCGAGAGATGTTCCTTCCCCTCTCGACCGTATTAGGCGGTGGATGCTAAGCGTCGATTCATATGAAACATACAGGAAGTGCCCGGGTTTCCCCTCTCGGTGATCGATACCAAGAAATGTTTGCCACATGCAACCTTCTCTACGACATCCTTCTTCCCTAATGCATTCAAGTTTAGACTGTATAAGCTTCAAAAAGTGGTGTTATTAAAATGTTAGTCACATGGAAGTGTCGCTTATTTGGTGTTTAAGTCGAACAAAACCTAAAATTGAATTGTATATTATACCTGTTGTACTACTTTTATTACATTCTGTTAATATACACGTTAAATCCAGCATATTTCATTTTAGTAGACGAAGAAGTTAACATAACCTCCCACAAAAATTTACTGTCACCTGTGTTTATTAGTGGAAAAAGAGCTATCACATAAAATTTTTCAGTTTCGCCAACTTAAGAATTACAAAATATACGTAAAATAACACCAGATTTCCAGAAAATGAGGTCAACTTTTAATTAAGATTGTGGAAAATTTAGGCCCTCTTCCGCAAATTTTTTTAATCTAAACGTGTTATTAAGGTGTCCTCTATCCATTTCTATCAATTTCATGATCATACCTGGGGGGCTTATTAGCGTAACGTACCCCTGAACTCTTTTCCGGTGTTGTAGTTTGTACCGATCAAATCAAACGGAAAGAGCTGATTTTAGCTAGTTTTATAGCTAATCATACATCACTAGAGTAGTTTGGCGAGGCTAATAGCAGTTGACGCTAAGAGGCTCGCCGAACCTAACCTATTTCTGTGAAAACGTAAATAAATGGCAGACCCGAGTAGACATAAAAAAATCATTTTGGCAGGTGTCGCAATTTGCCTTGGGGAATTGCTCGATAGTAGTAGCGAAGAGGAATTAAATATTATAGGAACGCAAGTGTTACTGCACGTAGAAAGTAGAAAAAGACAGCGCAGGACTATTCCAAGAATTAAGAAGTATGTGGAAGAAGTGGTGCCACAGTGGTTGGATAGTGACTTCAAATCACATTTCCGGTATGGGTATTTAAGTAGCTACTCGTATTTGTTTTTGCTCTTGCACGTATTCATTGTTTCATGTTTTATTTACAACAGTATGCGAAGGGAAACTTTTGAATATGTGCTGGGCATTATTGGCGCAATTCTCACAAGAAAATATCCAGGACTACTGTCGGCGCAAAAAGTATGTGAACCCGAGTTTAAAGATTAATAAAAAAATAACCAGTTGACCTATTTTAATGGGAGGGGTATCAAATTAAAGCTCGTTTAATTTTGCGTTGATTAGGCCTAAAGGATATTTTTTCATATATAATACCATAAGTAGTCGAAGTATTGTCGAATATTTTTGAGGTGCTGTCACGAATGCTAGTATGAGTGGAGCAGCAGCTCAAAAATAATCTACAAATACTTCGACTACGAATGGTATTCGGAGGACTATTCAATGAATCAAAAGAAAAATTAAGCATAATTACCCACGCGAATTATTTCCATGACAACAATAAACGTCAAAATAAATTATGGAAGTTGCTTTTCATTTTGCTATTGATTCTATTCGAACTTTTGTGCTCCAAGCTAATTCGTTATGAGTGATTAAATTAAAAGATGTGGTGATAAGACGGTTGTCGAAATTGATTAACAAACTAAGAAGAATGTTCCGGTTAATACGTCATTTCACTGGTGGAAGTTTGACAAATGTCATTGAATAATCGCATTGAATTGTCGCTGAAATACCACACGTGAAATTATCAAGGGTAATATAACAAGACCTTGATAAATAGTCGACTATTTTGATTGCATCTAAATTTC